TTTCTCGTGGCGCGTCACATATTTGTCTCCTCTTTGTTGTTTTTAGGCTTTCATGTTGGAGAAAATTCAAGGCAGCGACTGCAGAAGTCCTTCTCTTTGGACGAAACTAAAACAAAGATGGCCTCCTGCATCATTAAGAGTGTTCTGTCAAAGAAAATGCTGGTGGAGCAAAACAACTCTAAAACCGCTTATCTGCAGAGGAAACCTGCGGTGTTACCCAGCCTCCCACAGCCCGCAGACCAGCAGAGGGTGAGGGAGGGGGGAGGAGGTAAGATGGGTGGAGGTGTGTTTAAAGGTCCAGTTCATGTGGTGAGGGACATGAGGAGTTTAGTTAAAAACACATACAGCCTCCCGTTCTCCACAGCTCCAACAACAGCAACAACTGAGAACAACAAGCCAGCAAGCTTTAAGGTGATTGGTCAGCAGGACAGTCCCCCCCCAACCTATCAGCAGGCTGTGGGGGTCCAAGATCATGATGAAACGAAGAGGAGCTGTCAAGCCTCTGGAAGACATGTCATCAAAGTCACAGCATCTCTCAGCCAATCACAGGACAGGAAACAGAGCAACAGATTCAGTCATCCAATCACCCAGCAGAGACGAGGCAGCGATCCAATAATAAGCAGAAGAAGAGTGGATGATGTCACCTGGCCTGTCATGTTGTCAGATCCGCCCACCAACTCATGTGTCAGCAGTGACCTATCAGAGCTCAGCCAATCAGAGAGAGCCCCGTCCTGCCTCTCTGTGTTGATGCATCCTCCCCCTCATCCCGCCTCCACCTCTAGACACCTTCAGGGGACTCCATCTTTGCTTTCTGCCCAGGAACAGAGCTCCATTCTGGGTGTACCCTCTCAGTTTCCCCCAAATTCCTCTCAGCAGATCCTCCATTCCTGTTTCTACACCCCCACTGCCCTACCTGCCTTCCCCCTCACTTTGCACCCTCACCTGGGGAAGGTCAGCTACGTGCACAGCCCTGTAAGCTACATCAAGACCCAGCTGCAGCCCCCCCAACCTGTCCCCACCCTCCACCTGCCAAGTAGGTCTGAGGAGAACCAGAGTGGGTCAACTGGAAACTGCTTCAACCAGCCTAACTGCTTCATCAAGACCTGCCCACCTCACCAGACCAAGACTGCAGGAGACCAGGAGGGCAACTGCAACACAGTGACACCTGCAACACAGGAGCAACATGAGCAACAGAAACTTCAGCAGCAGCACTTTGTGTACGGTGTTCAGGGTTTCTTACCTGCTCAGGTGGGTAGTGACTTTGTTGTTGATGTCACAGGTTCTTCTGCAGCACCTGGGGCCCTCCTCAGTGGCCCCTCCCCCTGTCACATGATGTTAAATCCTAAAAGTGGGCGGTGCTTCTATGTGGACACGCCCCCACAGGCTCAGAGGAAGACGCTGCTGGATCCAGAAACCGGTCAGTACGTCCAGGTGTTCCTACCTGCAGCCCGCACCACCCCCAACACCGGCGTGTTCCCAGTGCGCTTTGCAAACCCTGCCCCCTTTATGATAAACCACACCCCTTCCACCACAAACCCTGCCATCCTATCAATGATGCAGTTCCAGCCAACGGTTGCTGTGTCCTCCCTGTACGCCGCCCCCTGCCTGCCCTTCACTCTACACACACCGTCGGTCAACTTCACACATACAGCACCGTGATGACATCACAGCCCGATGGATGACATGTATGATGACACCTGTGTCTTTCAGAACATTTTAATTCACTCTGAGTGGAGAAAACAAACAAACCAACACTTTTATTGTAAAATTCTACCTTTAGTGATCATAATCAGACTCTTACTGTGAAAGTCTCCTCTCAGTCATCATAAAATGACTCTTGTTATGAAAGTCTCCCCTGTATTTGTAGTTGGAGGTTTTCAGAGTTTGATCACAGTAGCATGGTGTGGACGTCAGAGGAACTGCAGCTCAGATCATCAAAAAATGCTGATAAAATATAAAATAAAATAACTTTAATATAAAATTATCAACTGTATGGAAGTAAACAAAATGTCATTTTGTTGAAAACTTGTAGTAATTGAGTATCATTAGTAAATTAACGAGCACGGTGTGTAATTTCTCTCATTGATTATCTGTAGCTGCAGTTAGATTAATGGGCTAACATTATATTAGAGTTTTATTTATTCTTATTTTTGTTATATAAATTACGGACAATTATTAGTCTGTGCTTTCATTTAGATCACTGGTTCTCAAACTATGGTGGTACGCAAGCTGCCTGTAGTGTGACATGGAGGAAAACAATAAAATCATTTAAAAACATGTAATACGATCAAAATATTACACAATTTCAAATTACAATTTTTAATTCAAACTAACATTTAGTTTCAATATCAGCCTGTAGTAGTTGTAGTCTCATTCATTAACGTAGCGCTCATACATCCGTGATTAGTACAGAGCTTTAATGTGATGTAAGATAGTGGGCAGAGGTCAAATGAATGATTCAAAAACAATCGTGGCTCCAAACTGGAACTTTCGGGAGGAGAAGAGCCATTTTACACCAAACTAGCTCTGGTTCTTGAACCGGTTCAGTCAACAATCAATACAAGAACTGTGTGAACTGTCTGTAGCTGAAAGGGCAACACTTTGGTATTGAACCCGGGCCGCTGTACATGAGGTGCACGCTCTAGCAGCTGAGCTACCTGGGCGCCCGTACTGATATTTGTTTATTCATAAATAACTAATTGTGTGTTATTTGAGTTAGCGTTGCTTTGTTTACAGAGAAATCCTGATTCAGAAGTATTCAGTATGACTTTATTTCACCTCAGATTGTTTTGGGGTTGTTTGATTTGTTTTCTGTTTGTAAAGAAAGTTTACAACCTGAATAAGACACACCAGGAGCAGATAACATGAAATTTACTTTATTGTTTTAGTTCTCTGTGACATACTTGCTCAGGGGCACTATGGCAGCATTGTTCAAAAACACGGTACTATCAAATTTTGGAATTTTTTCAAAAAAAAATGTTGATGCAAAATTAGTTTAAGTTTAAACTTAAATAACATACATAAAATGAATATTAAATATTTACATTCATGATGGTCTTTCAAATTTTAAAATAACATTTTACTGTTAATTTGGTGTGCCACAGGGTTCTGTACTGGAAACCAGTGTAATTTCTGTACTGTAAGTTAAACCATTAAGTTATGAATCATCATATTTTACGCTTCATCCAAATAATGTAATCATTATTTAAATTAAAACTTTTATTTGAATGCAGAACACCTAAACTTAACCTAAAAATGACTCATAAATACATATTTATTATTTTAATAATAATTGTTATTATTGTTGTTATTTAGATTATCTATATAATAAAGGTTTTCAGCCTCACTTGTTGTGAAGAGAGAAAATAATAATATTTCAAATGTGCTGCTGTCATTCATTTTAATGAAAATAATCACTTTTTGCACAATTTTCTGACATTTGACATTTTTCACCGTGTTGGTCTTACACTTGTATTAATAAACATATAATTTATTTTTTGAGGTTATAAATAAAAATAAGTGAAAAGTAAGAACTTGTTTTTCAGTTTCTTGAACAGTTTCTTGAGATCATAAACACACTGAGCGGTTTTTGGCAGTCAGTCCTGTTTATGGTTCAAATATTTTTAGGTTTCCACGGTAACAGAGGCAGAATTGGTACATAAGTAATATAAAATAATAAAAATAATACAAACATTTCAGTCAAACAGCTGTGAAGATTATATGACATCATACTGAGTTTGGATTGGTGAAGAGCCGCTGCTTCTATTATTTACACTACAATACCCATGACCCTCTGCTGCTGTGGTCATGGAGAAGAATCCAGTCAGTGGTAATGACTTAAAAACATGTTGTCATGGTTACTGAGTTTAAAAATGAATTACTTGTTGAGATTGTTTTCAGTGTGATCGATGTTTGTTAGTGAAATACATCTTGGGAATCATAGTCTTCCTTTAATTTCAACAGCTGTTGATGTTTGACATCATCTATCTATCTACGCTAACTACAGGAACCAGTGACATCATCTATCTATCTACGCTAACTACAGGCACCAGTGACATCATCCAGTGACATCATCCAGTGACCTCCAGAGACGGAACCAGGGTGACCTTTAACCCCTTTCCCCGGGTCATTAATTAAAGCTCCAGTGTGCAACATTATACTACATATAACAACACAAAGTTATAATA